CAAAATGGATTTGTGAAGTGTAGTTTATGCGGGCAAAATCTGAACAAAATTTATCACAAGGTTAGAATGGATTATATAAATGTTCCCGCTGATAAAAAGCTTACATCATAAATGGAAGTGGTTAAATTAAAAAATTTAAAGGCTAATTTTGAAGAAATAAAAATAAAAGCCTTCAGTTTATGAATAGTGAATATCCCATAAAATTTAAATATTGGGACATGCGTATATGAAATTGTTCTGCATTTTTAAATTTCACATGTGCAAAAATATATGATCGGTGTGGCCATTAAATTGAACAACTATGAACCTCTTGGTCTTATAACCCAACAGAGTAAAATTAAGAGTTACAATAAATATATTTTTCTAGATCTGGTCAACAATTAAAAATTGCAAATATTTTGTCATTTGCTTTTGAGACAAGCTAAACAAATAAAAATTGATATATATTTTATATTATCTTTACCTTTATTTTATCAGATAATTAAATCTAAAACAATGTATTTATTATATTAGTCATATATTTAATTTTATTACGAAAATTAATTTAAAAAGTGGCACTTTATTGACTGGATAAAATCTGAAAATCGGGTTTAATCATGTTGGTTATAACAGACAAATAATTCATAAGATTATTTTAATATTAACATCAGTTTATATTACCATTTCAAGTTATGGTTTAGACATTTGATAGTTTAACATTGTGGGCTTATTTTGATTGAAAACTGTTCATATGATCATAAAACTGTGCAATCTTTAAATTTAATAGGATATATTTTAATAAAAACTCGTAGAATTTTAATTAGAAACCTCACATTCAATTGATTGAAAACTATGAGACTTTGGATTAAAAGATTGATAATTTAAAATTCCCATCTGAAAAGAGGGGGGGGGGGGGGGTTGTAAATTTTTTAAATTTTAATGTAGCAATTTTTGTAACATTTAAAAAAAAATCAATCTTTAGGAATGTGGTGGGTGATCATTATCCTTAATCAAATCCTATCGAAATAAATATCATTTTTATAAAAAAGGAAAAAATACTATAATAATTTTTTTATTATAAGATTATAGGTAGCGATTATCTCCAACAACCTCTCGCCCCTTAAATATATTGTAAGTAGCTATCCGAGTACTCAAGACTTTAAACAGGCATTTCAGGGCTGTAACCAGGAATATAAACAGTCCAAAACTATAAGAACTCTCAAGACTAATAATATTAGTTTAATCTCATACTAAATTGAGAATAAGTTTAAACAATTTTCGGATATTTTATAATTTGTGTATCACGCTGATAAACTTATAAAAATAAATTGTGGTTAAATGCCTAATTTTTTTTATCCAGCATTCGTTCATTTTAATTTAAATTTACTTTCCTTTAAATATATTAAACTTAATTAAAAATTTTCAAAAAAATGCATTGGGAGGAGGGGGCAAAATTTATGGGGTTCTTAGGCCTATAATTTACAACCCCCCTCCCCCCCCCCCTTGTTCACGGCCTTAGATTCCACGTGGATGGAGGTTATTACAATTAAATGGGCATTCTTTTATTTTTCTTTAAAAGATTTTGAATGAACATTTGCGACAAAAGTATAAAAACAACAAAATATAATATTTTCATACTTTATAAATTTCTTCTTCTCATATTCACAAATTAAGAGAGAAAGGGGGGGGGGGATCTAATTATTTTATGGCCTAATATCTAATAATCCATTCGTGATCCCACAAATTCGAAAAGCTTTTAAATTATCGAGAAAAGAAGAACGAAAAATAGGACTTAGTTAAATTGACCATAACTAAATTATTTTTAAATAAAAAGAAGAATTTATAAAGCTCTACTTACTAACACTAATTACATATTATTCTTTTTTTTTTGCCAAGGAGAGATAAAACAGTTTAATAACACTTTTATTTAGGTTCTCTTGTCCTTTTTTTTTTGTTAAAAAAAAATATATATTAAATTTAAATTTTTGTAATATTTACATTACATAGATAATAGTTGAAATTTGGTAAAAATTCAAAAAAATGAAATCGACATTTTTATGTTGTTTGGATTAAAAAACTTAAAGAGACAAAAATTTTTCAGCCAACCTAATCCACCCGGAACATGAAATTAAAAAATATTTTAAAACATTTACCCTAAAAATTTATCTATTCGATTTTCGGATTGGGTCGGGTTTTGCCGACCTCTAATTTGAATACCAATTTTAAAATCGTACTTAAATAATTATAATTATTGGGTTTTCCTCTTTTTTTCCTATATTACTTTCTATATTTTCCTTTAATTCCAGTTCACTAGACTTTCGTTTTATATTTTTCCTTGTGCGTATATACCCCCCCCCCCCCCCCCCCCATTTCCCACATTTAAAATCTTAAAATTGGTAAAGATATTTTTTTAAAATTATTTAGATCATTTTCAAAATTGATACCCCATGAAGCCCTCCAGATATGGATCCGATTATGCTATTGCCGCTTCCTTTAAATCCTTAGGCCTTGCAAGGCAGGGCTTGGACTTTTAAATGTAAAAGCGTGTGCTTAAGAGCAAGTAGTAGTGTTGTTAAACGGCTCGTTTTGAGCCGATTTTTAAAAACTGCTAACTCAATATTTTATCTAGAAAGATCTTGCACAAGCCTGAAGATTTTGCTCATATTAGGAACAAAGATCTAGGCATACATTAACCAAATCTCGAGGCTTAGGCAAATTTCCTGGCTAAAATATTGAGTTAGCTGTTTTAAAAAATCAGCTCAAAACAAGCCGTTTAACAACACAGAAGGGCTTGGAATTACAAATAGATATATAAAAATAGGGCCGTGCTCAGACCGAAAAAATAATTGAATTTGTTAAAGCTTTATTTTTTTTCATACTTATAGTCAAATGGAAAATTCTCCCTTTTCGAAAAAAATATAATCTATCACCTCTCATGTTTTTGTAAAAATAAAACTTAAATAAAATTAGATTATATGTATAGATTACATTTGGTAAATATTTGGTTTTTTTTAAAAAAAAACAACTAACAATAATAATTATGACAAATGTCGAATAATTTTTGATTATTTGGTGACACACGGCACAGGGATTAAAGAAAGAATAATAATAAATTTCAAAAATTAAATAAAATGCCAAAAAATTTAGTTTAAAAATATTTCTCGATATTTATATACTTATTTTACTATTCTCGAAAAAAATTTCAAGGACAAGATATTTAGGATGTATGACTCACTTTAATTGAATACTTTTGCTCACTTTGAAGCTAACTGATTATTTGCACATAAAACATTCTCAGTTAAGGTTTAATTTAGAATGGAAGAATTATAATTTAATTATTTTTTCTAATTTGTTGTTTTAGTTTCTATATCTTCAGCCTATCAATTTAATAATTTAATTTTTTGTCTTTTTAATTTTATCATTTTCATTTTTTCCTATTAAAGTTTTCATCTCTTTAAAATACATTTTTTTCCCCTCTTTTTATTCTCACTTATTTCCTATTCTTGCTACACCTACCTTATTCAGAGATCTGCAGGCCCGGATTGAAGCCCGATCCGGGTATACTTGGCCATCAAATTTATTTTTTAATATACAGGCTTGTCCTAAATTTTTTTATTAGAAAACCCGGGCTTTCTGAAAATAGTTTTTTTTTTATAATATTAGCAACAAAAGTATTTTAAAAAAAAATCAACATGAATATTATAAAGAGAAAAATAAAGCTATATATATATATATGTAATATTATACACTGTAACTTTAAGTATAATATAAAATATCTTATCTTTATAATGAAAACAACCAGTGGGTCACTAGCCTTTAAAATCCCAGGAGGGGGCTCAACTAAAAACCCCTATACCTCCTATCTTGCGGGCTTTCGGCCCGCTTTTACCCGGCCTAGGATTTTTATAAATTGTATAAATTAATCATTGGAAAATCTTGTAATGGAGAACTTTTACTTGTTCATATTTGCAATTTACCCTTTGAAATAATTTAGATTTACAAAATACAGCCCAAAATTATACAAAAAGCCGAAATTTTAAAAATTCCTGAACGAGAATATGAAAATTTGTATTGAACATAAAAAAATAAGTTACAAAGAAAACCGGATCGGATTCGAAGATGAAAGTTCCGAGGCTAATTATGCTAATTTAAATATGTGTTGATTTATATTACAAATGCTAACTTGATTAAAAAGAAAGTAATTATCTGTTATTGGGATTGGGACGTTGTTGTAAATCATATGTTATTAAATTAGTGATGTAACGGCTCTGCGAATTTTAAATTGCCAAATAATATTAAGCAAGCCTCGAGATATCATTAATAAATGTCCAAATTTTTCTGACAGAGCAAAATCTCCAGGTTTGAGTGAGCTGGTTTTTTTTAAAAAAAACCCAGCCGTTTTAACAACACTATTATTAAATTAATCGATTAATTTTATAATTTAATGTGTAAATAATTGAAAATAATTATTATTTTATGTATTTTTTTTTAAAAAAATATATATAATCAATATTTAATACAAAAAGCAAAGGTGTAATATTTATTGATTTAAAAAAACACATTTTTCAATTGAACAATGGGGGAATGCTTGGTAATAAAATATAAACCCATTATAAAACCTCAGATTTAAATGATAATTCCTTCATCCATTCCTCTATCTATAATGAAAATTGCGCCAAAAGCATCTAAAATATTTTGATTTTAAGCCTTCCTTTTTATTATTTTAATTTTGCAAATTATAATAAATTTAATAACAAAAAAAAAATTAAACAGATGATAGAATTAAGATCTATAGACAAAAAAGGGTCTTGACAAAAACTACATTTTGATTAAAAAATTATATTTATTAGACATTAAAATAAAAAGAAACTACCATGCCAAAGCTAAAATTATTATTTTTTAATAAAATCAATAAATATAATTTCCAATCAATAAAACCATCTTTTTTTCCAAAAAATGATCTTTTTTAAAACAAATTTTTGTTTGTTTTTAATGCGTCATTAATAAAATATTGCCTGTTTAAAGAATAAAATAATTTTTGAACTTTAAAATAAAAATTTTTTTAAATTTCGATAAAATAATTTTTAGTTGAAAAGAAAAATAAAATCAATGGCAACTATAGGATCATCTTACCATCACGATATAGTTATTCCAGTGGAAAAAAATATTCATGAAAATCCTGGAGAGCGTTCAGAATCCAGGTTAAATTTTAATTAACCATGTGATTTTTTTTAGAAGAGAACTGAGGGGGGGGGGTGTTTCTTAAAGTCTACTGGCTCAAGTAATGATTGGTAGAGGAATTACCACATCCCACTTTTAATAAAAATAATAAATTTTGATTAAATAGAAAATAAAGAACCTTTTTATTATAATTCGATTATAGGTAATTAATTTGTGATAGTATCATAATACGAAATAATTAAGTGATTATTCTTTATTCCAAATGAGAATAGTAGATAGCACGAATTTTATTAATTGCACTTATGAGGTAAAAGCTTTTGTTTGTATTTTCGATCTTCGATGAGTGCCAAAGTAAGTTAGCCAGAAGAATATTTGGCAGATTTAATTCATTCTGTGTCGACAATAACAACAACATGGTTTAGGTTGTAGGGTGAGAGTTAATTGGCTTGCTTTAAATTTTTTTTTTCTGATATTTTAATTTGGCAAGAAAATATAATTTTATCAGTTTTTTAAACCACTTCCTCATCGATTGGGGTCAATTCACGTCACTATAAAATTTGTATCTGGTTTTGGATAAGCCTCATTGAACACGAAAATTTTTTTAACCCATCTTTAACCAACAAAGCAGCTTAGCCAAGTTTTATATTTCAAAAAATTTGTCTTAATATTTAAGTCAAGGCTCTATTTTAGAGGTATAACTTCTAGCTTATCCATAGCCAAAGTTAGGAAAATTAACAACACAAATTTTTTTAATATATTTTCTTATCAATAAGTATTGCGAATTTTGTCTTTTTTTTAAATTGCTATTTTTCCAATGATCAATCAAGCCTTATTTTTTTTACTCTTTTTAAAAAAAAATATGATTATCTTCTTGCGTCACTTTTTTGTTCACCTAAATAGTTTTTAATTAATGGCAGCAAGAGATAAATATAACACAATATTCTATTTCAAACAGTAATCATATCATGTTACAATTTATTTATATTTAAAAAATTAAATATTATAGCGAAAAATTCAAAGAAGAAATGAGGAAAATGGAAGAAGAGATGGAAAGAGTCAAGAAAGACTTATTAGCTAATACTAGTTCTGCCAGTGGTTCTTCTCCTGATAATAAAACCTTGCAACAATCCCATTCCACCAAATTACACTCTTACCAAAAAACAACTAAGACCGAATCCAAAAAGGTTACCAAAGAAGGTGGTGGTGGTACCCCTTACACTATACAAACCACCTCTACCAGCCATCAACCATCTCATACCATCAATATAGAATCTTCCAATATATCCGATGATATTCCACGTTCTAGCAAGACGATAGTAAAAGAAATTTACCCAGAGCGATCAGGAAATGAAGAGATATACAGAGCTAATATAAGCCCCGGAGCCACTATAACGATAAAGGCGACTTCTAGGGAAGGCACACCCATCAGGAAAGTGGTAATCGTTCAAGAGAATGACAAAATCAACGATAGTGGTGTTAGCACCAGCTTCCAACCAACTTATCATTCTTCCCCCAACCCCAAAGAGCACACCATCAGAGTAGATAGGCATATAGACCAACACGAGGTTCCTCTTGGTAAGCGAGAAGAGTCTAAAAGCGAAAAGAAGGAATTCACCACTTCCACTAACGTGACCGGAAACGAGAATTCCACTCGACAAGAAACCATAAAGAGGGAAGAAAAAAGAATTTCCTCTTCATTCAGTTCTACGTCTAATCTCTCCAACCCATCTTCCGAGTCTTCTAATATTACGCAAGATAAGAAAAATTTAGATTCTTCCTCTTTCGATATGGATAAGCTAAAAATTGATGATAAAGACGCCAAGGTTTTTTTTCTTCTAATAATATTTTTTTATCATTCATTTTTAAGGGTTCTCGCTCATCTTTTTTAAAAAATATTATGAATAGCCGTCTGATTGATGTTTTCTAGACTTAAAAAAATAATAGGAATCACACTTAACACATTTTTAAGACTCTAATGTCAAAATTGATATTTAAAGAAAAATCGATGTCTAGGCTGATTTTCTACCCAGAATAAGAGCTTATTTCGTTGAGTATTCCATCATTTTTTCCCCCTTTACAAATTCTCATGATTTTTTGATTAAATTCTAACACTAAAATAACAGGTAATCGAAACGGATCACTCCACCGGTATAAGGCATCTCAAATTGCGTTATGAGATTAGTTCCAGAGATTATGAACCTCAGGATATAAACGTTAGGGTCACTAAAGATAAAGTTTTTATTAAAGCCGAACACAAAGAGACAACAGCTGGCAAGTCTGTTTGGAGAGAATGCAGCAAGGAATTTTCGCTTCCTGATGGAGCGAATATTGATTCCATTAGATCTTCCTTCAATCCCGATTTGGGAATCCTGACGATTGACGTACCCTTATTCAAATAGAAAATATTATAATTAATTATATACTAAATTATTAATAAAAATAAATATTTCAAACTTCTACTTATTTCTTAATTCACTTTTAATGAATGCTTCTTTTTTTTTGTTTAATCAGTTTTTATTTTCATTCGCTCTATTTTAATTTTTTATCGTCTTGTTTTCAAATTTCTACCACAAATTTATTCGATAATAATTTATTATTTTTTATAATTAAGTTGCTGCAATATTATACATCTTTTTGTTTACTGATCAATAAGTCTGATTACACCAAATATTTAACCAAAAGTGTATTATTCTATAAATGTATTAATTGGTATTTCAAATTCGATCTAAAATCTCAAATTATATAAATTATTTAATTTAAAATATTAAGTTAATTTAACGTGATATTATATTTTTTTATATTTATTATCTCTATATCTACTCATACCAATTTTACAATTTTACACAATAATATAATAATAGTATAATATCGCTTAATTTCAATGCAATAAATCTTACACTATCGGAATTATGATTTGCTTAAGAAATCAAGCAAACCTATACAATCCTTTTTAATTAGAAAAATGGATTAAATTAAAAGTCTGATAATAATCAAACATTAATTCATATTTTTATAACTATATGTTAGAAGTCAGTCAGTTAAGATTTTAATAAGCGCTTTTCACTCCCACAACCCTTTAGAAAAAAAAAATCATAGATCAATTTTTTTTGGATTATAATAATATCGATCTAATTGCCCATCTCCAATAACATCATTACTAAAAAAATATTCTACCATTGTTTTAAGCTATCTTGAAATAATACCATTTGTTTTAAATAATTTAAAAAAAAAAATTCATTTACGTAGATAATGAACTTAATAAACTTGATTTTTTTTAAAAAAATATAAGAAGTTACATAAACGCAAATGTGGAATAGCTATCTATCAAAATCTAATTTAATACGATTTCGATCGAGGAATTCTGTTTTTTTTTTAATTTGGCTCATTTTTATCAAAACGCCTTTATATTCGATTTAGATTATTAATTTTCAAATTCAATGGTCAATGATTAATAGGCGTAGCTAAGGGGGGGGGGGGGTGCTTTGGAAATTTGCTAGTTCTCGTAAATATCATTTCGGCTTTTTAAAGTCACCCCCCCCCCCCCCCCCCCAATAAAATATGTAAGAAGAATAAGTATAATTATTTTTTAAAAATAAATTCAAAATTTTTAGAAAAAAAAAACATTTTTACACCCATCTACTCTATTTTTATATAACGTAACATAACCAAAGTCTTGCAACAAATAATTTTAAGATCTAAATTTATGGAGTGGGGGAAGGGAATAGCAAATATTATGTTTTATCTAAAAAAAAATTTCTTCCTTGACACCGATAGTCAAGATTTTTAAATGTGTTTATAGAGGGTGGGGGTGGGGGTGGGGGGGGTAAGAGTTTATTGTGATCAGCACAAACCCAAGTTAATTTATTCCTAGCTAATCAAATAGGCATGCTTTTTTGAAAAGGAATCAACTATATTTAGGTGAGTAGTAGCTTTCAAAAAAAGAATCTAATAGAAATAAAAAATAAATTATATCATAACTTTTGATACCGGATTCACAAGGGACACAAATTTCGTTGTTCTTTCTTTCTATTTAGTTCACGCTTACTAAATATCTTTTATGCCGAGCGTTTTTTAGCGCGCCTATCAGGGTTGTTTCCCCCCATCAGCGGGAGACTATCGCAATTGCAAAAAAAAAATTATCCCGCAAAATAAAAATTTTTACCAAATTTCTCCGCAATTTTGAAAATTTTGACCTGACAACCCTTGCACCTATATAAAATTTGGCAAAGTAAAAATTCCTATGCCATTGTTTTATAAAACCTTGAATATGACTTTTTTTAAAAATATATATATGTATTTAAATTGTTGTTTTAGATTTAGTATATATGAATTCCGATTTTTAAAAAAAAAATAAAATATAACAAAATATCATAATTCCAAATTATTTTTTATAAATAATTTATATGAAATCAAACTAAAAACATCACAAAAGTCACTATTTCCTTGTCATGAATTTTTTTTTGTAATTATAGGCTATTAAAAATAATCATAAATAAATTTTAAGTTAGTTTAGCTATTAATGAAAAGTTTTTTTATTCGATTAATCAAATATCATGATATACCACACAAATATTATAATATAAAATGTTTTTCAAAGAACAAAACTGCTGAGTGATCAAATCTTTTTGATCTAACCAGAATTGTTTCGCTATATTGTATCGATAATACTTTCTGGTATATATTTTTCCACGTAGCTCATCATGATCCGATACATTGTAATCTAGGATAATTAATTCTCTATTTTTCAATAATAAAAAAAAAATTTAATAACTATCTCATAATAAAAAAAAATAACATTTAAATTGTTCAATTAATTTAAATTAATTAATTCATATTATTTTAATTTAATTTTAAGTTATAATTTTTAATACAAGGATTTAGAAATATAATAAAATTATTTGATTTCTAGTTATTTTATTTATATCTTTTAAGTAGATCAATGCTGATATTAAATATCAGATCGATCAGGGCGATATTTAAAGATATTAAAAAACCCCGATCCGATTTTAAGTAAGGGAGGTGGGGATAAGTGCTATCCTGGGCTGGGGCAGATATTTTCTTATCGAATTTAAAATTTAATATATTGAGATTTGAAAATTTATACTTGAAATATATTTTAAAAATTAACTTAAAATTTTTTTTATAATAAAACTCAGGCTATAAATATCAATTCTAAATCAAAGAATAATCTAAATTTTATCGCATATAAAAATGTTGACAGTATTCCAATTTAATATCCTGAAATTAAATGTGAAGACCTGGGGCGGAGCAAATTTTGATGGGGTGCTCATTAGCCATTTTTGAGCAGGCATTTTTTTTTATTTTTTAAATCCAATTATATTTATACTAACACCAGAAGCAACTAGTTTAACTAGGTCCACGAATAACAATATGATGAAAGTATTAAGTGACAAGTTCTTCCTGTCGATGAATATAAATATGGATGAACCTGGTGTAATTAACATAGTTTCATTTATTTACATAGGATGAATATTTTTATATAAAATAAAAAATTGACAAAATTTAAAAATAAAGAGGCGCTATAGCACTCACCGAGAAAGGATAATAGGTACTCCGGTTTTTTTCTTCTAAATTTTAATTTATACCATAGAAGATATAAGAATATCTGTTTAAATATTTTGGAAAATTTGATTCATATATAACTTTTAATATTATCTATAATACAACCTCGGACACCTACATCTTTTTGGTTATTTTATGATTATATATAGTGTGTTCTAATTGTAGTGAATACCCTTCAATGAATCTGCCAATTCTAAAAATAATTCATCATAATTTTAGAGATTGAGATGGAAAAATTATCAATGTCTTTTGCAAATTGATAATAACTTTTAAAAGTAGAGCGCTATCGCTTTCAATAGCGTAAAATATAGCTAAAGCTACTTTAGAATTTTTTTAAAAATATTTTTACGTATCTCCATTTCCACAAATAAAAAATATGACTATAATTTCAATTATATATATAATTAATTTTTTATTGCATATCAATAATAACAACACATTTCTATATTGTCATCCCCAAGAAGTCTAGAGCGATGATCAGAAAGAATAATCCATAAACAGTGGTGTTAAACGGCTCGATTTGAGCCGATTTTTAAAACAGCTAACTAAATATTTTAGCCAAAAATATATTGATTAAGCCTTAAGATTTTGCTAATAGATGTTCGAACCTTTATGCCATCTATAAGCAAAATCTTCAGGCTTGTATAATATTTTTATAGATAAAATATTGAGTTACCGTTTTTAAAAACCAGTTCAAATTTCCATTTAGCCACACTAGCTAAAACTAAATAATCATTCAACATTAGCATACAATGCAGTATCAAATTTAATGTACACATTTTTATACAAGAAAAATCATCAAAAATATTCATTTGAGTATTTTTAGATATAAAAAAATGCATCTTAAGAATTTTCAATAGTATTATTTATTTCAAAAAAATTTGATCTGGGTCAGTCTAAAATTGTAATAGTTAGAAAAAAAATGTAGAGGATATTTGCTAAAGTGCGACTACCACCCTTTAACTTTTTATCTATTGAACCAATTTCTCTCAAAATTAGTGAAATGAGAAAGTATTGAAATAAATATATTTTAGCATGTTTTCATAAAATTTATAAATATATAGAAGATGAGTGGTTAATTTAAAGAATGTTTAACATAGATAATAAATTAAGATATTATCATTAAATTGATGAGTCAGATGATAAAATGAAATGTTAACATTTATTGTAATTTTTAATTTATAATATAATTTTTGAATAATATCTTATGGCCAGTTGAAACATACCATGTTTAAACTGGGCCAGAAAATCAACTTTCACATAAACTCATCTAGTTCAAAAACTATTATATTGCTGATATATTATATTTTTAAATGTTTCCTCGTTGAAGTTACTAGTCTTGTTTGATGATAAAACCTTCTGGCACATCTCAGATCTCACAATGAAATTTGTACCCTTGTATTAATTTTTTTTATCGAGATAAAAATATTTTGCGAATTCAGGAAAATAAAATTCCTATTATCGTCATTTTCTAAGGGAATTACTTTGTCGATATGCTCTGTACCATAATTATCTTCAATATTAATCTCTATCGTCTTTTAAATTGTAAATTATTTTGAAAACTAGATTTATAATGCAGATTTATTAAATAAAATTGAAAGTAGCGAAGTAGTACGGTTAAATTAGTAGCGAGCTACCTCTATTTTTTTTCAAAAAAAGTTGAGCGCTTAAGCTACTACTACTGAAAAAAGTAGAGCGCTATAGTAGCGTGCTACTTTAACAAACACTGGAAGTCTAGAGATAACAAACTTTATATGTAATGGCACATTTCAAGCTCGAAGGTCTAAAATAAATAAAATTTGACTTTTTTAAAAAAATCTAACCTTTCGCAAACCATAAGTTATTAGTTTTCGATAATACACCTAAAATGGAGTCTTTATATACAAAATATTACCTTATCACACAAAAAATGTGCATGTTATCAATATAATCACATGATAAATCTAATGGCATACCCACTTTTCGTAATCTTTATGAGTCGTTTTTTAAAGCATAAAACAGTGGATCATTTTATTATTTCAGGCTATTAGAAAACCTTTTTAAAAATATGTTAGTTACATCATGTTTAACTAAATACTTGGTTAAAAATGCATTTATTATTATAACAGTGATTCATGCAAAATATATTCAGTATTCACCAATAATTTATTATTAAAATAATTTTGCATCGTTATTCGATTATATTAATGCCCTAGCCGAAATGTTAATTTTAAAAAAAAATTAAAAAAGTGTTCAATAAGTAAACATAACAATAACATGATTGCGAATATATATAACAATATATTGATTACCATTGGCTAAATAAATTTTTTAGCATGATACATTTAAATTCATAATCAATCGCATGTAACCCGTATATATTCCATTATTTTTTTACATCACATATGATCAAATTTGTTAAAACATAATAATTTATGCGTATTATTTATAATTTTTTTTAAAAAACAGTTTACATTAGAGATCAAGCGATTAAAAATATTTATGAGAAAATATAAAAATATTTAAAAGAATTAAAATAATAAAAAAATTTAATTTTTTCATTCAAAATAGAGAAATAGAATAACTGCGACCACTGACATTATGTAGAGCACTCGTTTGGGGTTCAGTCACAAGCCATTCATACCATACGGAATACTTATTTTTGCATCTCCACATGTATAAGCATATTGTGTCATTGATTTTAATTGGCAAAGGATTCTTTTAAAATGTTATAATTCGTTATGAAAAAAGTATGGGATAAACATTTCCATTCAAAATTTTGATTATCTTTTTGCCCGTTTTGTAATTTTATTTTACTCCTTTAAAATGTACTAAAGAAATAAGTAGCCTTAATAATAAATACTTATAACATTATGTTTTTTAATGTAAATAAATAATATTTATGGTTTTTAAGTGTTGTAAAAATCAATAAAAAACAGGCTAAATAGGGATTTTAGCCAAGATAATATTAAATAGCAATGAGATTTCTCCCAAAGAGGGCCTTGTCATTAAATATAGTTTAAAAATGATTAAATTATTTTTTCCATCTAGTTCGCGTAGAACCTATAAAAATAGGTTCAGTGAATAATTCTATAAGTTTTTTTATAAAGTTAAAAGTACATTTACCTTGATGGGGAAATATATCGGGAACCAACTAAACATATTTTCTGTATGTCTTTCGGGTAATGTGCCTTATTTCCCGTATAAATATGATTATTTAAAATGGGTCAAAAATTAATTTAGATAATAAAATTGGATAATTAAAATGGGTAAATATAAAGAAGAAAATATTGAAAAAACAAAATGATAAGAGGATGAAGGTAAACCGCAAGTTGTTACATAAAATATATAACATGCATATAGCATTTATTCTTAATATCTAAATTATATGCTGATTTCTGATTGGTGCATATTTATCTTAACATATAAATTATATAATAATTTTTAGAAAGTATCTAAACAGATCAGTATCCATTTATTACCCAACTTCATATATATTCGATAATTTAAAATTTTTTATTTTATGCATTTTGAAATTCCGATAAAAAATAGTCAATTTAAGCCAAATATTTTTATTTTATATTATAGTATATAATATTCAAAAATAAAATATAAAAGCGCTTAATAAATTAGGCCCATTTATACGGTAATTAATAAATTTTAGAAAATTATTTTTTTCTCTAATTAAACCTTTGCATATAATATTTTAAATGAGCATGGAAAATCATTAGATAAAGATATAACTGATTTAATTAAATATGAACAATTATTTATAAATATGAAAATACACGCAATTTATGCGCTTTTAGATTTTATTTTTGAACATATTTTTAATATAATAAAATTTTATATCTTTACAGTATTTAATCTAAATTGAGTATTATTATCGAAATTTTAAAATGCATAAAATAAATGAAATGTACGAATACATATGAAGCTGGGTAGAATACAATATGTATATTTTAATGACATATCAAACCCCCCCCCCCCTACTTCTTTCTATCTCAGATATTTTCCCCATTTTTATTTCTCCCATTTTGATTTAAAATGAAGATAAATGAAACTTGAAATTGGGATCAGAATTGTTATGAATTTCTATTACTTTTTTAAAATAATTCTAAGCAATGTTCTATCACCCCTGTAATTAATATTATTCAACATATTTATGGTATATTATTATTACACGCATGATAAATTGTTAATTTGTTATTGGGAGATTTCTAAATTATAAGGGAAACATTGATTTTAAGAGTATTCTACTGTTGCTCATAAGAAGGGAAAACACAGGAGTTGGAGACAATATAAGATAATTTTCTGTAGAAGAAAATGAGCTTGAAACAACGTTGTAACCCATTTAGGCCATTTATAAATATAAACAATTGTATTTTATTTATTGCGCCATTTATTTACCCATATGAAAGGGATATAATTTTTATGATAATTCATTCTTAAATTACTGTGATAAAATTTTTTATAAAGGCAAAATCTTATTAATGAAAAGTTTTTGAAAAGCCTAATTCCCAAATTAGCAAGGATGCCCCGTCAGCTCATCTAGCTCTACTATACGTTCTGACAATCAACAGCCGACCTGGGTTACGGGAAAATTAATATAAGGAAATACAGGGCTTCGGATTCCCTTGTGCAATTATATTCACTATTTCTGGCATCAAACCATAAACGGTTACTTAGAAAAGGGGAATCTTTTTCTATCATCCTGTGGGCAAATATTATTTGGAAGAATAACAAACCAATATACTTCAGAAATATTAGAAACCCAAGGAAGAATAATGAATAAAAATGGTCGATCTCCCTAATAAGGCTCAGTAATGGAGAAATAGGAAGCAATATCAGAACTTTGAAATCGCATATATTTATGGCCTCAATGAATAGCCATAATAAATTTATTTCTACACAATTCATATCAGGAATAAATTCATCCTTAACCAAAGGCAAACTATTAACAATTAATTTTCTCATTTCTATTTTCCGTTTGTAATGGTAACGGATTTTTCAATTAAGAGATATAATTATTTTGATTTTGGAAATTATTAGATTGAACGGCCTATAATAGTTTCCTTTGATAATTGTAGTGTTGACATTGATAAGAATTTACTTTGATTTGACCTAGTGTTATTAAAAAGTCCGATTTGGGTTGATTTTTAATAATGACCAGGATATTAGCCAAAATAATATCATAAGCCTCAAGATTTGGCAAATAGAGGTCAAAATCTTTCTCCCATCTATGGGCAAAATCTCCAGGACACATAATATTATTTTGGCTAAAATCTTAATTGGGCCCTTTTTAAAAATCGACCTAAATCGGGCTTTTTAACAACACTAATATGACCCTAGAAAATATATAGGAACTTGATATCGTTGATTTGTACATAAGTTTATTCTCTCCTTGGCTTTCTTTTAGTGTAGTATTATTTAATATGAATGGCTCTCTTAAGAAATCTCAGAATAATAATAAATTTCTCCCTTTTAATTTGCTAACCCGCTAAAAATAATATAATAAAATAGGGTAAACAAATGTTACATAATAATACTTATTTATATATTTAAAATTCTGTCTTATTTACAATCTTGGTATCTTAGTCTAACTAACTTTGTAGTAAATTATATTATGGATATACTTAAAGTAACGTGTCCATAAAGCACCGCTTCAAAATACCCCGCAAACCCGTGCAATAAACAATCTATCTTAGCCTTTTCGAATACTAACGATACGTTTTTTATTTCATCTTCATCTTGATTAACGAGATCCAAATCCTCCTTTAAATCGCAAAAAGCGTTACCAGTCATTTTTTTAGCAGATGGAATATTATCATCGTTTGGATGAGTAAATGTAAAAACGGGTAGGGAAGGAGCTATAAGCATTCCTTTGACTATGTTGACCACAAAAGGCATTTCGAAGTGGGAAAAGGTAAAGGATTTCTTGTAATAACGTAAGAATTTAATTATTTAAATATGGTGAGAGGGGGGAGGGAGTACAAAAACTTAATATGGCACAAGAAAGGTATAATTACTTATTGTAATGATTATGCTAATTTGTATTTTGGTTAAAATAGTTTTGTTTTATAAATAATTATTATACATGCAAATTGTTTATTTTGGGAGAATAATATGTGGTAAAAGAAATAATGACAGACGATATTTAGTTTTGAATATTCATATTTTGTGAAAGAAATAATAATTATCCAGACGATTGTTAATTTTGGGTAAAATTTAAATAAGTTAATTGTATATAAAAGGGAAATTTGATTATACTAATATTTTAATTGTGTTTTTTATATACTTATATTTTTATACCTATTCAGTGTCGTAGCTATGAATTTTCCTTAGAGGGGGCCCATATATATAAAAGCCTGGGGGGCTTCGCCCCCAGATCAGCCTATAACGGGACTTCGGCGTTTTTGCCCGGCGTTCAGCCAGGTTTATCTAAAAATCATATTTGTTTATCTTATAATATAAAAGTCCTAGAATTATTGATCATTTTAATTAGTGTTGTTAAACGGCTCGATTGCTCAAGCCTAGAAATTTCACGAATGTCTAAACCTTTGTATCATCCATAAGCAAAATTTTCAGGCTTGCATAATTCTCTGGCTAATATTGAGTTAGCCATATCGGCTCAAATTGAGCCATTAACAACACTAATTTTAATAAAAATAACATATTTCGACATAACATTTTTGATATACGTTTCAATTTACTATACTTTTATAGAAATCAATTTACAAATAAAAAGCGATTATTTAAAATATAAATATTATATTAGTGATCTGCATCGAGCCTAATTTTTCAAGCCCAGCAGAGCCCGAAATTTTTTTAAAAAAAGTTTTGCCGGCCTGGCCGGAACCTGAAATTTTTTAAAAGTTTTGCTGGCCCGGCCCGGCCCGAAATTATTTAAATATAGAAATTAATTTTTATAATTACTCAAAATAAAAGAGATATGTTATATGTCGTTTAGTTACAATAAATAAAATCAAATATTTTTATTTTACATAAAAAATTAAATATAAAATTGATAAATTTAGATATATTTAAAAAAATTATAAGGGCCGACCCGACCCGGCCTGAATTTTTTAAAAAAATATTAGGCCCGGCCCGAACCCAATTATTTTAGATAGATTTATGCCCAAGCCCTCTATATATTGCTTTAATTATAAATATTATATTGCCTTAATTATAAATTATATACTTTATAACTATTAGTGTTACACATATAAATTGCTGATTATAAATGATATATTTTATAATTAGTAGTATTATATAATACATTTAAATTATAGATTAAAATATTATAAATGTTATATACCATTGTAAAACAATTTATAAATAACAAAATATAATTTTATGTAAACTAAACAAATTTATAATAATAAAGTGCTTATTTGGAAAAATATTTCGATTGCTTTTGATTAAAAAAAACTATAAGTACTATGTTAAAAACTTTATATTTTATATATTTAACTTAATTCTTAGTGGCCCTTTAGCCATTTCCTCTAAGACCTCATTTGGGGTAGGATTAAGATCTCTATATATATTCAGAAGAGCTAATCCATTGGTCCTCGCCCTGGCCAGAGGTTGCCCTTAAATAACCTTTAAGTCGAGTCAATGTCGAAAATGACCGCTCATTGGTGCAAGTAGTTATGGGAAGTGTTGCTAATATTATTAAAAGTGTTTTGATATTTGTTCTTAAGTTTAAAGTTTCCTTAAATAATTGTAATGCCTCAACAGGGTTGCTGGGACGCTCTTTAGGGATGGTGCTTAGATCAGAATACCAAGCTTCAGTATCTGACTTTAGCTGTTCGTATCCTCCGATAATGTCTGATTCATAAAAAATACTAATTTTTTTAATGCTAAGCATTATATTATTGTTAATAATTAATTGTTCTGAGGATGATGGCAAAAGAAAATTAAAATATTTTAATATTTTGCTATGCCCATCAAATTTTAATTTAAAGTGAGTAATAATTGTTTTTAATAATTGTAAAAATATAACTTTTTTATAATAATCAAAAGTTGATTCTAAGGCTAACATGTCACCTATGATTAGCCTAGGTTACTCAATAGTAGGGATGATGGTGCTTAGATCAGAATACCAAGCTTCAGTATCTGATTTTAGCTGTTCGTATCCCGATAATGTCTGATTTTAAACATCTATGGTAAAAAAATGTTAGTGGCATTTACCTCAGCATCTTCAAATATTTTAAGAAGCCTCTTGGCTTAATTCATTGCCTCCACAGTTGATATTTTCCCTTTGAAGATATCGACTTAAATTTACACTTTAAAAAAAAATTCATTGTATCTTTATTATTTTCAAAGCTTCAACTAGGTCTTCCAATGCTTTAAGAAAGCCATTATTGAATCTTGTCTTTGAAGAAATCTTGTAGGCGAATATTTTTTTAATTTTTGAACTTTGGATCCATCTATATCTTTTAAAACATCATACAACACCTTTGATCGCTTCCCAAAACTTAAAAATTCAATTATTTTGGATAGGATTTCTATGAAATAAAGATTGTAAAAATTATGTGAATAATTATTTACTTAAACTATTATCAATCTCACGATTTCCACAAGCTTTGGGGATAACTAATTTAAAAGCAAAAGGGGCCACAAATAATCGTAAATATTTACAAATTATTATACAAGTCATCATTTACTTGGGAAGGCAGGGAATGCTGTAAGAGGCCACAGAGAAAAGAGTGGTAAATTGGATTATAACGAGACTTCATTTAATGAGGGTAACTTTAAAGAGTTGCTCAAATCATATTGTCATCTAGGTGGTGATGAAGCCAAGATCATATTTGACAATGTGGCTAATAATGCCCTATATATATCTCTTGATATACCAAATACAATTATAAACATATGTAATAATTTTATTGTTGAAAAATTAGTTAAAATTGTTAATAAATCTGTCTTTTTCTCTGTAGTTGTAGATGAAACAACCAATATATCAAATCAACAACAGACGTTGTTTTGGTTATCCGAATATTAAACTTGGACACCATAAAAATTAGTGGATTTTTTTTGCAATTTATTCCACTTGATAAGGGTACAGGAGAAAATATAGCCAAACAAATCATATCTTTTAAAAAAAAACAATAATATTGATATAACTAAAATTCAGGGCCAAGGATATGATGGTGCTCCAGCAATGTCTGGAAAAATTAATGGGGTTCAGGCCTATATAAAAAAAGTGCCCAAAAGCTCACTATGTACATTGTGGAGAACATTCTCATCTCCAAAGCTTGTGGAATTCGTGAGATTGATAATTGTTTAAGTAAATAGTTATTCACATAATTTATACAATCTTTATTTCATAAAAATCGTATCCAAAATAATTAAATTTTTAAGTTTTGGGAAGAGATCAAAGGTGTTGTATGATGTTTTAAAAGATATAGATGGATCCAAAGTTCAAAAATTAAAAAAAAATTCGCCTATAAGATTTCTTCAAAGACAAGATTCAATTACTGGCTTTCTTAAAGCATTGGAAGGCATAGTTGAAACTTTGAAAATGATAAGTAGATGGAATGATAAAGATACACCTAATATTGCACAAGAATTGTGTTTATGAATTTACTAAACCCCCTTTATTATATCAATTTTTTGTATGAATTATATATTTTTTTAAACTGTAAATTTAAGTTGATATCTTCAAAGAGAAAATATCAACATTATGGAGGCAATGAATGAAGCCAAGAGGCTTCTCAAAATATTTAAAGATGCTGAGGTAAATGCTAGCAACATTGTTTTACCAATATATGATAGATGTTTAAGTTTGGAAGAGAAATTTAAAATTACTATTGAGAAACCTAGGCTAATCATAGATGGCATGTTAGTCTTGGAATCAACTTTTGATTATTATAAAAAAGTTATTTTTTACAATTATAAAAACAATTATTACTCACTTTAAATTAAAATTTGTTAGGCATAGCAAAATATTAAAATATTTTAATTTTCTTTTGCCATCATCCTCAGAACAATTAATTATTAACAATAATATAATGCTTAGCATTAAAAAAATTAAAATTTTTTATGAATCCAACATTATCAGAAGATAGGAACAGCTAAAATCAGATACTGAAGCTTGGTATTCTGATCTAAGCACCATCATCCATACAGAGCGTCCCAGAAACCCTGTTGAGGCATTACAATTATTTAAGAAAACTTTAAACTTAAGAACAAATATCAAAACACTTTTAATAATATTAGCAACACTTTCCATAACTACTTGCACCAATGAGCGATCATTTTCGACATTGACTTGACTTAAAAGTTATTTAAGGGCAACCTCTGGCCAGGGCGAGGACCAATGGATTGGCTCGTCTGAATATATATAGAGATCTTAATCCTACCCCAAATGAGGTCATAGAGGAAATAGCTAAAGGGCCACTAAGAATTAAGTTAAATATAAAGTATTTCAACAAAGTATTTATAGTTTTTTTTAATAAAAAGCAATCGAAATTTTCAAATAAGCACTTATTATTATAAATTTGTTTAGTTTACATAAAATTAAGTATATATAACATTTATAATATTTTAATCTATAATTTAAATGTGTTATATAATACTACTAATTATAAAATATATTATATATAATTAAAGCTATTTATATCATTTATAATCAGCAATTTATATGTGTAATACTAATAGTTATAAAGTATATAATTTATAATTAAGGCAATATAATATTTATTTTATAATTAAAGCGATATAATATTTATATTTTAAATAATCGCTTTTTATTTGTAAATTGATTTCTATAAAAGTATAATAAATTGAAACGTATATCTATAAAAGTTATGTCGAAATGTGTTATTTTAATTAAAATTAGTGTTGTTAATGGCTCAATATGAGCCGATATGGCTAACTTATGCAAGCCTGAAAATTTTGCTCATGGATGATACAAAGGTTTAGACATTATTCGTGAAATCTCTAGGCTTGTGCAATATTTTTTTGGCTAAAATATTGAGTTGTTTATAAAAATCGGCTCAAATCGAGCCGTTTAACAACACTAATTAAAATGATCAATAATTCTAGGACTTTTATATTATAAGTAAAACAAATATCAAAAGATCTGAAGGCCTGTTAAAGGGGGGTCTGGGGGCGACGCCCCTCAGGCTTTTATATGTATGGACCCTCGCTAAGGAAAATTCCTAACTACGCCACCGTTCAATAGTAATATAATATCCTTCCACAAACATCAAAACCAAAAAAATATAAATATTCATGGTATTTATTTTATATAAAATGACTATTGAGTTTTTTGAACGTATAATCTTTAAAAATTGCTCTGGAGGGGGGGGGTCAAACCCAAACCCCCCTCCGTAGCTACGACACTGTACCTATTGAATAAAATAATTCCTAACTTTGATACACACGATTCAAAATTACTATTATTACACAATCAATTGTAGAAGGGCGCTTAATCAAAGCCATTTACATAATATTTAAGTTTAATGAGTAGAGTGTTTTTTAAGGAAACTCCTAACTATCAAAATGAAATAAATTCTTAATCATTCTAATATTTACTAATAAAATAGTCGACACAAGGATTTCATCTAATAAGACATTCATGAATTTTTATTAAACATTTAAAGAAAGAAATAATTAAAATTGATTAGATAAGATCAAGTTCAATCAATGCAACAACCCCCCTCCCCCACCATGCCTTATTTAAAAATTTAAATTGTTGGGTCTCATGGTTATGGAGTGGTGGTAAACATGTGATACCACTACTATATTGGGAAAAAGTAGATTTTTTTGAAAATAAATCGTATATTTCAATATTCTATTCATGAAATTACAGTTAGTAATAACAAATTTTTATATTTTACCTTATCTGAAACGTCTAACTTCTCGTAATTATTAACTTCCGAATGCAATTTTTGAGCCATGAGTGGAGCAATATGAGACGTATAACTTTGGGGGATACAAATACCGCCCTCTATTATGTTTGTATAAATATAAAATTTGAATTGTATTTTGAGAAGGCACCAAGCTTTAACAAAACAAATTGGTTATTAATTTTAAGGAACAACCTTGGCAATTTTATTTTATAACAGCCGGTTCTTATTGAATTTATCCTTCGTTATTTGAGAAGAAAGGCATTACTTATATTCAATTCTTTCTCGATTGCTTAAAATCCTCCATTCATTCCTTTTTAAAAAAATTCAATTTTGTTATAGTCAAATGATTATTTTAATCTTCTTAATCCTTTTGTGCTTATTTTATATAAACATAAAAAATTGGAAAACTCAACCAATAATATGTGTTGGATCTTGTTGAATCATCTTAATTGTAGGGGCCCTGTACAAGGCATTTTTTCGTTCAGCCGGATGCAGGTAAGGGGATTAAAACATTTTTAACTATTTGGTTGGAATTTCGTTAACTTCTCGATCTAAAAATACACCGGTTATAAATGATTTTCCAAAAAAATCCGGTTTAATCCATGTTTGTTAAGTGCCCAATCAATACAATTAAAAAAATTTAAGGCTCAAACAGAACCGCCTTAAAATATATTGTTGTCTATTGACAACCTTTCCAAGCCCGTTCTCTTAAGATCAAAAATGTGTAGTGTCTGTTAATACCTCCAGATTTTTATATTCAAAACTTTTCAAGAAGTCGGAATATTTTATAAGAACTCCAGAAGGTTATGGGTCAGTCATGTATTCCGAATAATTTTTAAAATTATGCTGCCATTAGTATATCTGAAGGACCACTCTGCTTATGCACTTTATTTATGCTTGCCAATATAATCTGCGAAAAACCCTCATGATTTCTTGAGCCCAAACCATATTTAAAAATGTAAGGTTCAGAAAATAAGAATTCTTTAAATATTTATTTTAATAATTTAAAAAAAAAAGTTTCAGGAAATTCATAACCAAACGCAAACTCTGTTTTTAAGGACGGTTCATAGCCCTTAATATAAGATTGGTTGTTTTATGGGTATTCTTAAGAGATAGCCTATTTTTTAAAATACTTTTTAAATATTTTTGCACTCCGTATAAGCATTCTGGAGAGAGCTCATTATCGCCGAAAGAACCCAATAATTCGCTTACCATGACGTCGATCATACCTAACAAATTTCCATCAAATGATTTATCAATAGTTCTGGCATCGCCTTGTAAAAGTATCACCGTCCCTTTCGGCCAAGCGCCAGAGAGTTGTTTTTGTTGCAAACTTTTAAAATAAATCATTTAAAAAAAACTATTATATATTTTTTAATTGTAAATAAGATAGAAAAATTATTATATCATGTTGTTCACCATTTAAAACTAAAAGGGTTTTTTTCGACAGCTATTACTTCAATCTTTCTGTTAGATCTTTGGGCTGCATTAATAGAAGCGGTTATCAAAGGTCCCCTTCCTGCGCCCACCACCATTATAATCCTAGTAAGTAAAAAATCAGCAATTAATATCGAATCCTTGGTATTTTTTTAAAAAATATATAAATTGAAAGAGAAATAAATCTAAAATATCACAAAGTGAGGTTTCGAAATTGGAAAAAAACTTGAAAATAATTATGCAAGGTAATATTGAGACAAAATGAATTTTTTACTAAAATTGATAAAAATACAAAATCATATCAAAAAGAAACCATCAAATTAACAACAAATATTAGAAATATTTCAATAAAATAATTAAAATAATTCGCTATACGTTTTATGATCTGGTTTTTCGTTATTGCTAGGAGCGACATCTAAAAGACAATTGTATATTGCCTTTAATATTATACAAGAAAGTATAAATAATGTTTTATGAACGCTAAATAAACGACTTCTCGCTTAACCTCTAATATATTGACATATTTAATATAATAATTCGTTTCAAATGTAAATTATACATTTGTAAGGCTTTTAATAATTATTAGACAATTATTATATTCTTTCATTCATATTAATGTTTTTTTGGAGTAAGCTATTAATGGATATCGTTGAAAGTTGTTGATATTCATGTGTTTTTCCTTAAAATTATCATAGCGCTATGAAGTATTATTTATTTCGATTTTTTTAACAATATTTATTAAATTATTTTAATAATCTTTATTTTTGTTTTCGTTCTTATTATTTTTTATTTTTAATATGATAAAGTCATTAAAATGGATTGTGAGAGTATATATTTTTTTAGATACTTTTAAACAGGGATTCAAACCGAACCATTAAATCGGAATTATTCATAGTAACTGAACCGTTAAATTTTCCGCCTAAACCTAAACTTCAATAAGTTGTAAACCAGTTTGAACTAGAGGTGGGCGCGGGCCTAATTTTACCCACTCACGGTGGCAATAAATAAATATCACGTCCACTCACGCTTACTACTAAAAAATTTTTGACCCGACCTGCTCACGACAAGCAATATTTTGATTCACGCCCGTCCCGCAAATTCACGGTGTTTTTAAATTTTTAAAACTTTATTGCTAACCTATAATTATAAACTTTTTTCAATTTATAATTATTTATCTAATACCATAATTCATAATGACAAAAAATAAATATAATTTATAAATCGAAATTTTTATTTAAAAAAAGAAGCATGTCCATGTTTTTTGATTTTAATTGCGTGCGCCTTTCCTCCAACAAGAAATTGGCTACTGAAAATAATCTTTTACTAGATGCCGATCTAGCAGAAGACAAAATTTTACTCGCTAATTTTTTGCTTCCAAAATTTAAAAATACTGTCATTGTTATTTATTTTATGAGCAATAAATCTTTTAAGTTCATCCTCGCAGCTTTCATCAGTAGATGGTGATGTTTCAACAGAATCATCTAGAAATTCTCTAAATTTTTCATTTAGAATACATAGTTTCTTATGAGTGCCGTATGATTTGTTATGAAAAGTAGTTGGAATTAGAGGTGGGCACGGGCCTTCCCAAAATTTCTCCCGTGCGTGATTGGGTGTGAACATGAATTTCCTTGAATCACGGAAAATTTTAATTTTTAAAAGTGTTTTTTATATATAAATTTGCTATTTTATAATTATAAAAAAATATATATTTATTATTTAATTTAGTTCTTTTAAAAAAGATTAGTTTTTGAAAACACAAAATCTTCCGCATTTTATTAACAGCATCAATAAGCTAATTTTTCTTTTTATGTTTAGATGTTTTGTAGAGAGAGACTTTTTGCTAAAAACTTTAAAATTTATATGTTCAAATCAAATTTATCAAGTTTATTTACATGTGTATATTGATCTTCTTTCAAGTTTGTTATTATTATATATATTATTTTATTATGAAAATGTAATTCTTCGCATTATAAATTTTAGTATATTTGCAAATGTCATTGTAAGTTCTTTTTATTATTTTTAATGTGAAATATATCGTCGGTCTAGAATTGTAGTGCTCCACTTGCGCAAATGTTTAAAATGAGAAAATTAATATTAAAGCTCAAAATCAAATATAGAAATAATTTATTGATCAATTTAATTAAAAATTTCAGAGATAATTTATAAATTATTATTTAATTATTGCCTAAAAAATTTTTGCTCAAAAAATTTAAATATAAAATTTATTTGATAAAATCAAAATGCAAGTGAAGCAAATATAACACTATGATTTTTTTTTGATGATCAAAATGCTCCATTTACATTTTTTTTATCCAAATTATCACTATATTTTAATTTTTTTCTAATTTATATATGTAATAATGATCCTTAACAGTTAGAATAAAAATCATCTTCCCACAAAGTACACCTTTGAGGAATTTTTTTGCCTGTTTCCATTATTTTGATATAAATTTTTAAAGAAATAACTAAAATGTTTATTATTTATGTCAAGTGTATGTAAAATAAAATTATCTGCAAATTCTAACTTTAACATTCTCCATTTTATAAAAATATAAGTATGAATATGTTTTATAATTTAAATAATTTTTTTCCCTTCTCATACATGAAGTCCTAATAATAAATTTGATATAGAATGAGTCTTTAGCTTCATCAGCTAAGCTCCAAAAAGCATTATGAATTATTTTACTCTGATCTGCATTAACTTTTTTATGACATGTGATGGAGTATTTTTTTAATTTAGTTTTTATTTTTATATATACCACTTCTAACTCAAAAATTTTGAAAATGTTCATTGGAGTGGAGCACCCAATTCTAGACCGACTATAATAAGTATTAAATTATCAATGAAAATTATAAATAAAAAATAGGAATATTTTTTTCCTAATCAAATCTTAGTTTTACATACTCCTCAAAGTAAAACATTTCATACTTTTTTAATAAATAGGCTTCTTCAGCAATAGAAATATGGTAATAAATAAATTTGAATGTGTTTTATTTTCATTTATATTTATTATTTAAATTTATATAACTCATTGTTTAAATTTTCTCATATTTATCTGCAAATCTAACATAATCAATATAATTGTCATAAATAAAGTTGCTTGTTTGGATTATATTATTTATAATATAGTGAACAAATATTTAAAAAATTACTCAATTTAATAGTTTCTTTATACCTTTTTATTAATCAGTCTAAACCACATAATATATTTTTCTAATATAATACTTACTTAAATTTTAAAAAAATGTTCTAAATTTTTTTAACTATAATTTTAGAAAAATACTTAATTAATTAATTCCTTTTATTTATTAAATAAATAATTTTAAGTGACCTTGAAAAGGAAAATCTTACACAGAGCAGTGAAGAAAATAATGTCAATAATAATAAAGATATAATTGAGATGGACATGATTTCAAAATCGGAGATGTTAACTAAAATAAGAAGGAACGATATTGATATTGAATTTAAAGCTCCTGAAAACAGAAAAAGCAAGATATGGGATAATTTCTTAACAATTATTATAAAGGTACCTTACATTTGTAAAATGTACAAGTTGCCAAAACGTGATGTCATATAATTGTAAAACAGGTACTGCTAGTTTATTAAGACATAAATGTTCCATAAAAAATACAAAAAATCATTCCAATCAGAAAATATATAAATCTATTTAATTCTTGCTTGCTAAGCAAGTACACTTGTATTTCAGAATAAGATTTTAAGAAACTCTATATAATGATATACACAGAGTTCCATCTGGTTATCTCATCTTGTTTAAGTGTGTGGCTTAACTTGCTATTCGCTGTAGATTGTTTAAAATATTGTACAATTTTTTTTACACCATTTATATTTGTGGCTATTTAAGGTAAACAATTATCAAAAATATAATGCATAATATTATTTAATATATAGCATATACGTGGTAGCCTTTCATCATCTTTGAATGCACATATAAGATTGGCTCCATTATCGGTCACAACTATACACTTATTTATATAATTTTCTATTTCTGTATATTCTTCTAAAATTGAATTGACTACACTTTTAATATTGACCCCTGTTTTTTTTCATCCATTACCCTTGTGGCCAAAACAAATGTTTTTAATTCAAAATCATTATTGATAATATGTCCTGTAATAGTTAAAAAATTCCGATTTTTATAGTCATCTGTCCAAAAATCGGTGGTTATGGACAAGTAATTATTATTGATCATACTTTTAATCTTAATTTCATCATATATTTTTGGAGCTATAGTATTTATGAGAGTTTTTCGACTCACAAGTATATCTTTTATATTTTGTTGTCCATACGTAACACCAACATTTATTAACTATTGGCATAGCTTGAAAAAACCATCACTTTATGTTGCATTTAAAGGTCGAAGATCTTTACAAACAAAATACAACTGGCTTTTCTGTAAAACTGCTTTTGATTTGTCTGACATTTGCCTTTTAAACATATTATATATTTTCTGATTGGAATGATTTTTTGTATTTTTTAAGGAACATTTATGTTTTAATAAACTGGCAGTACATGTTTTACATTTATATGACATCACGTTTTGGCAACTTGTACATTTTACAAAATTTTGTAAAGTACCTTTATAATAAATTGTTAAGAAATTATCCCATATCTTGCTTTTTCTGTTTTCTGGAGCTTTAAATTCAATATCGTTCCTTCTTATTTAAGTTAACTAGTGTTGTTAAACGGCTCGTTTTGAGCCGATTTTAAAAAACGGCTAACTCAATATTTCATATAGAAAAATACCACGCAAACCTGAAGATTTTGCTCATAGAAGGAACAAAGGTCTTGAAATATATTAACGAAATCTCGAGGCTTCGGCAATATTTTTGTGGCTAAAATATTGATTTAGCCGTTTTAAAAAATAGGCTCAAAACGAGCCATAAAACAACACTGAAGTTAACATCTCCGATTTTGAAATCATGTCCATCTCAATTATATTATTATTATTATTGACATTATTTTCTTCACTGCTCTGTGTAAGATTTTCCTCTTCAAGGTAACTTAAAATTATATATTTAATAAATAAAATGAATTAATTAAGTATTTTTCTAAAATTATAGTAAAAAAAAATTTAGAACATTTTTTTTAAATTTAAGTAAGTATTATATAAGAAAAATATATTATGTGGCTTAGACTGATTAATAAAAAGGTATAAAGAAACTATTAAATTGAGTAATATTTTAAATTTTTTAAATATTTGTTCACTATATTATAAATAATATAATCCAAACAAGCAACTTTATTTATGACAATTATATTGATTATGTTAGATTTGTAGATAAATATGAGAAAATTTAAACAATGAGTTATATTAATTTAAATAATAAATATAAATGAAAATAAAACATATTTAAATTTATTTATTACCATATTTCTATTGCTGAAGAAGCCTATTTATTAAAAAAGTATGAAATGTTTTACTTTGAGGAGTATGTAAAACTAAGATTTGATTAGGAAAAAAATATTCCTATTTATTATTTCTAAGTTTCATTGATAATTTAATACTTATTAAATAGTCGGTCTAGAATTGGGTGCTCCACTCCACTCAACATTTTCAAAATTTTTGAGTTAGAAGTGGTATATATAAAAATAAAAACTAAATTAAAAAAATACTCCATCACATGTCATAAAAAAGTTAATGCAGATCAGAGTAAAATAATTCATAAGGCTTTTTGGAGCTTAGCTGATGAAGCTAAAGACTCATTCTATATCAAATTTATTATTAGGACTCCATGTAAGAGAAGGGTAAAAAATTACTTAAATTATAAAACATATTCATACTTATATTTTTATAAAGTGGAGAATGTTAAAGTTAGAATTTGCAGATAATTTTATTTTACATACACTTGACATAAATAATAAACATTTTAGTTATTTCTTTAAAATTTATATCAAAACAATGGAAACAGGCAAAAAAATTCTTCAAAGGTGTACTTTGTGGGAAGTCTTTATATATATGATTTTTATTCTAACTTTTAAGGATCATTATTACATATATAAATTAGAAAAAAATTAAAATATAGTGATAATTTGGATAAAAAAATGTAAATAGAGCATTTTGATCATCAAAAAAAAATCATAGTGTTATATTTGCTTCACTTGCATTTTGATTTTGTCAAATAAATTTTATATTTAAATTTTTTGAGCAAAAATTTTTTAGGCATTAATTAAATAATAATTTTATAAATTATCTCTGAAATTTTTAATTAAATTGATCAATAAATTATTTCTATTTTTGATTTTGAGCTTTAATATTAATTTTCTCATTTTAAACATTTGCGCAAGTGGAGCACTCCAATTCTAGACCGACGATATATTTCACATTAAAAATAATAAAAAGAACTTACAATGACATTTGCAAATATACTAAAATTTATAATGCGAAGAATTACATTTTCATAATAAAATAATATATATAATAATAACAAACTTGAAAGAAGATCAATATACACATGTAAATAAACTTGATAAATTTGATTTGAACATATAAATTTTAATGTTTTTAGCAAAAAGTCTCGCTACAAAACATCTAAACATAAAAAGAAAAATTAGCTTATTGATGTTGTTAATAAAATGCGGAAGATTTTTTATTTTCAAAAACTAATCTTTTTTAAAAGAACTAAATAAAATAATAAATATATATTTTTTTATAATTATAAAATAGCAAATTTATATATAAAAAACACTTTTAAAAATTAAAATTTTCCGTGATTCAAGGAAATTCATGTTCACACCCAATCACGCACGGGAGAAATTTTGGGAAGGCCCGTAACGCCTACTAATTGAAATTTTATTCACATTCACTTTTTCTTAAATTTTGTATACTGGTAGTATATACTATAAACTAAGAAAAAAAATGAAATTTTACCTTCCAACACTGTTTACTCGCTAAGATATGCCCGTTTAAAGCGCGGAAAAATGGTACATTTGACAAAATGCACCTCATTTAATTTCAATCTCGAGAAATAATTAAGTTAGAAAAATAATTTAAATTTTATTTTGTAGCTTAAAAAAAGTTCTTTAAAATGACATAAAAATAATATGATGGACATTTTATTAATATCGAAAACACGATGTGTAAAACCGGAAATGGCCATAGAAAAAAAAGGTATTTTTTAATTTTTTTTTGTAGATAGATATCACACTGCTTTATATTTGTACAAAATCCTAGACTGGGGTGAACATGGGTTTAGGAGTTATCATTCTTTATATGGCTATAATTGAACAAATTTAACATTAATATCATCATATTTTAATTTAATGAATAGTTATGAAATAATGTAGATTTAAAAATTATGTCTAAATGATAGGCCCTTATTTTTTTTTATCTTTATAAAATAATTTTGAGAGGAGGCTGGGATAATGAGCTGTTTAAAACTTTAGTTAAATTTTATCTCGAAATTAAAATTACTTGACAAAATAATTTTAAATGTTTTATATAGCATAAAATAATCTACAAAAATTGAAATTCAACAATAGATTTTCCCCATATATTCAAAAGTAAAAGCAAGGCTTAATTATAGATTATAAAACAATAAACAATGGATAGCAGTTGATCGAACCTCGAAACACTGATAAAATCCGCTCTTCATGAAGGAAAGATTTAATAGTGGCTAAAATTTATTATTTTTCTGATGGAGCAGTAACCAATATAAAAATAAAAGGTTTCATTAATCTCTACAATCATGAAAATGATTTTGGGATAAAGGCAGAGTGACATTTTTTGAAACCGCACAAGGTAAACGTCCATGAGACATTTTGTAGGCCGTTACTAAACGGTTAGCAGCTCGAGCAAGTTTGCAACGTCCATATGAAAACACATATTGACAACAATAGATTATTTAACTATGCAAGAAATAATATCTCTATAGTAAATTATATATTTGTGAGCAATAATGGATATATGAACATAGAAAGTCATCTTGAAAGCAGATTTTTGAGAGCAAAGAGAATTTCTGGAACACAAAGTTCCAAGCTTTTATTCCCCTACACGAAAACAAGTCATAATTCATTAAAATTCCTTGGATGATTATAATATATGATATATTCTAATTATAATTTTTGATTGTATTATATGTAATGCAATTTGAGGCAAATAAAGTTATAACGTTTAGAAATATTTTGTCAAGTAACTTCGAGACAAAATTTTACTAAAAGCTCATTATTCCAGCCACTTCTCAAAAATTTTAATAAAGATAAAAAAAAGTAAGGGCTTGTCATTTAGACATAATTTTTAAATTAACATTATTTCATAACTATTCATTAAATTAAAATATGATGATATTAATGTTAAATTTGTTCAATTTTAGCCATATAAAAAGTGATAACTCCTAACCCCATGTTCATCCCAGTCTAGGATTTTGTACAAATATAAAGCAGTGTGATATCTATCTACAGAAAAAAAATTTTGAAAAAAATAATACCTTTTTTTTGGCCATTTCCAGTTTTACACATCCGGTTTTCGATATTAATAAAATGCCCATCATATTTATTTTTATGTCATTTTAAAGAACTTTTATTAAGCTACAAAATAAAATTTAAATTATTTTTCTAACAAAATTATTTCTCGATATATTTGAAAATAAATGAGGTGCATTTTGTCAAAAATGTACCATTTTTCCGCGCTTTAAACGGTCATATCTTAGCGGGTAAACACTAAACAGTGTTGGAAGGTAAAATTTTATTTTTTCTTAGTTATAGTATATACTACCAGTATACAAAATTAGAAAAATTGAAGGGGGTCTGGTTGAAACTTTGGTTGATTTGATAAGGAATTCACCATATTGATATTTGAAGGTGCCAGCTACCCAATTTAACGTATAAAAGTGTGCTCGGTCATAGAATTTATCCTTACTTCCATATAATCTTGATTGTATATGGCTCACTATTATTTTACATGGGTGCATGGACATTAGATAATTTTTTAAATGTTTTTTCTTACACATTATATATTTTTTTTATTTATATTCTACGTGTATTTTTTTAATTTTTTGACTTTGCTGAATGTAACTTTATATATATAATAAATATTGTTAAATAATTCCCACAAATAATATGTCATGATGCTATGATGATTTTAAAGCAAAATAAATAAAAGTTCAGCACCGTACATCATTACCAGCTTTTTCACATTTTTTTCCCTTAAATTAAAGAGACAGACATACTTCTTTTGGCTAAAAAATTGATAAAACAACATATATTAACAAAGTTATATCAAGTTTTTACCATAATGAAATAATTAAATAATCATTTTTTGTTTAAAAAAAGGTATATATAAGTATATAATAGATATTTTATAAAGAGAAACAAAAAAACTTCTTCGTAGGCAACGTATTTTGGGGCATCTTTCTCGAAGATTTCGTAGGTGTAAGAATCAAGATTATCTCTCAAAGGCTTTTTTTAAAATGAATTAAAGAACATATTATATAATATTTTGTGATATATTTGATTTTATTCAGTCCTCCCTTTCTTTTAAGCTTTATTAATTTTCCCAATCTTGTATTTCTAATTCTAAGTTAGAAGGATTGTCGATTTGCGATCCTATTTGTATCTTTACTTTAAAAAAAAATGAGGATCAGGATCAACATCTTTTTATTTTTATTGATTGATACTTTGATCCTTTTAAAAAATTTATTCCTTAATAAAATAAAATTGTTAGATATTAAAAAATGTAATAGAAATTTTATTTAGAGCTTTTATAATACATTTTTATTTTTATTTTTAAAAAACGATGAATAGAACTAAGTTTTCTTTAAGGTTAATTGGAAGTCTAACTCTCAGCAAAGTGCTCCTGTTGCTAAAATTTGTTTAAAGATTATGATTAGTTTTTATTTTTGTAATTTATATTATATTTTAGCATTAATAAATATAAACTAAAGTTCCTTTCATTCTTTTCATACACTAGTATTAGGACATATCTTCCGCCCTTTATTTATTCATTGTAATTTGTATTTCTAAAAAAATAGAATAAAAGAACATTTATGAATCAAACTATTATCTCCAAGGATAGTGTTGTTAAAGAGCTCGATTTGAGCCCATTTCTAAAAACGGCTATATTAATCAAAACTGAAGATTTTGGTAGATGGCACATTGGTTAGGACATATATTTACGAAATTTCGAGGTCTTGTCAATATTTTTATGGCTAAAATATTGAATTAGCCGTTTCTAAAAATCTCTCAAATTGAGCCGTTTAACAGTACTACTTAAGGCCATGGGCAAATCTCTAATTTTGGATTATACATGCGTCTCATCCTTCCCTACCAATATAAACAGCAACCTGATTAAACTAGCAGACAAAATTATCAAGAAATATAAAATCCTCGGCAGTTTTATATTTCCACCCATTCACCAATGGACAGTTTGCGCATAACACTTACTCTTTTTTGAAAATTAGCTCACAAAATAAAAATACAAAGTGTTAGGCGCAAACTGTCCATTGGTGAATGGGTGGACTTAAAAAATTGCTGAAGTTTTTATACTTCTTGATCATTTTGTCTGCTGGTGTAATCAGGTTGCTGTTTATATTGGTAGGGAAGGATGAGACGCATGTATAATCCCAAATTAGAGATTTGCCCATGGCCTTGGGTAGTATTGTTAAGCTCAATTTGAGAGATTTTAAAAGATGGCTAATTCAATATTTTAGCCATATAAATATTGCTGAAGCCATTTCGCAAATAGATGTCCTGACCATTGTGCCATCTATACCAAAATCTTCAGTTTTGTGCAAACATTTGAACCTAGGGAATTCTTATTCCTTAAGCAGAATATATAATTAAATATTTCTAAATTTGGTCTTTATAAATGATATTTTAAAATTTTAATAAAATACAATTTTAATTATATAGTTAAAATCTTCTCTTAATGTCATCTTACCTTTCCACCTTCTCTATGGTATTAGTGAATTCTTTTAAAATAATTTACAATTTGGCCCGCCCATTTTAATCCAAGTTCCCCAAACACCAAATCTTCTTCCCATTATCAATATTAAATTTTATAACCCCCCCCCCTATTAGGCCCTCATCTTTATATAAAGTACACATTAGCTATTTACTCTCCTTTAATTTTAATATCCTTATTAATATTACAAATTATCTAACATCCTTCAACCAAAACTCCTTCTTACCACCCCCATAGTCCTCACCTACATGATCTAATAACTCCTCGCCATATTATTACATTTTATCTTATATCCTGGATCATCTTCCTAGTTTACCCCTCCCAACCATCCATATTATTTTAAACATAATTTTGTCAAGAAAATGTCCCTTAAGTAATATTATTATAAGATCATTTTTGATCTTGATTGCGTCAAACTAAATGATAAAAACCACCTATTTATGTTATAAACCCTTGGAGATATATTTTTTGCTAAAATCATGCTTAAGAGTTAAATCTAGAAGTAAATTTAGACAACACTCTAATATTTTAGTGGATATGGATAGAGTAGAACAAGACCAGAAAAAGAGTTATAACATTAAAAGTAAGATAGATAAGGAAAAAAATATTGATAAAAAGAGAATAATTAGGGTAAATAAAAATGAGAGCAAATGGGAGGGGGTATTTTTTGAGAAAAAGGGGTTAGGGGTATAAGGTAAAGATCATATAACGTGAGAAAGAATAAGAGATTAAGATGGGTAAAAGGAGAAAATATGGAAGCGATATGTATTTTTTTTTAAATTTTTACCTGTAAAGGATATTGCAAAAAATCTTCATAACCTGCTGTTATCTTCAAATCTGGATTATTTCTTTCATAAACCTTTAAAATATTATTTATTAAACCATAAGAGGAAAAAAAATAACATAAAAATCTAATTCATTCAAAAAAAAGTTAAGAATTTACATTTCTCAAATGGTCCAAGTATTCTCTGTAAACATGGAGTGGTTGATTCAGATCAGGTTCACTTGCCTTCAGCAATATGTAAGGGTTAAACTATGCAAAAATTTAAAAAAAAATAAGATAGCAATACAGATAAAGAATGTTTGGTGAAAAGGCTGGCTGGGACAGATACTAGATAAAAATATCCCTGATTTTTTGGGGGTAAATGGAGGGGGGGGCAGGTTGGTATATTTGTACAATGTTCATTATTAGAAATGTATGATATTCAATTTTTTCATTAGTAGCAGTTCCAGATTCTAAATTTTTGTAAATTGCATGGATGGGTACATTATAAGATTTTATAAAAAAAATTAAAAATTAACTCTTACATGTAGAATGTAAATTTAGTTCAATCAAAAAATATATATAAATTTATTAGTATATCTTCAGTAAAATAAACAATATTCAATATTTTATTCATCTAGATGTTTTTTTGTGTTTTAATTATGTTTATTATTTTACATAATCCTTAATCATATGTTCTGGGGTCTTTTTGATTGAGACATTTCTGTCTAATTGACAAATATAATATGCAATAGGCCTATTCAAAAATTAATCAAAATTTTTATTTGTTGCAAATAATTTGAATCTAATAGTAAATTATTTGTTTGGTTCAAATATGAATAAACAATTATTTAGAATCATTATTAATGTTTTTTAATAAAATTTAAATTGAAAAACTTTCAATTTGACAAATGATATATAATAAACAAGGTAAACAACTAATTTGGTTAAAAAAATCACCAATCTTGAGAAGAAACCCTATTTACCTTAAAAATTGGTTTGGTATTATAAATTAATATGCATAAAAAAATAATCTATCCAGATTTCAAATAATTCGAATCAGAAAACACATAGTAAGTTTTATTATTCGTACAAATACAAAATACCTGACAATTCAATTTGTTTTTAAATAGGCCTATAAAATATCAAGTGATAAATCCACAACTAGAATGATTTTAATTTAACAAAGAAAGATTATAAACATTGAAATTATTTGACAAAATAATAACTTTGAATAGCTTAAATAGCAAATTCTGGTGGGCTACAGTTAAAATTGGATATCCCATTTTGTTAGTAACAAATATATCGGTTGTTAATGCTATGTATTTGATAGGCTCTGTTAGCCATCTTTCAACAACAAATGGGTTAGATGGTAAATCTGCTGTAACTTTTAAGGCTAATGTAATTTTATTATTATTAGTAGTTTGATTTGATGGTGAGGCACATTCCAAACACATTTCTTGAAAAATATTACTCATTTTATTCCATCTATTTAATAGTTTTGTGTAAAAAAAAATATATGATTTATTATTACATATTCCATGTGAGATTTTCTTCCTTATCTTCATCTTGTGAAAAATCTCCATTTTGAAGAGGACTTTGTAACATCAAAGGTATTTCAATAATGAGCTATATAAAATAAATTAAAATATTATCTTATTAAAAAAAAACTTGTAGGGCATTAATATCTGAATATAAAATTTGGTATAATGCTTTAGATAGTTGTACAAAATTTTCAGTCAAAAATGGTATGATTACAGATGGGTATTTTAAATATTCAGCATATTGTAATTCATATTTAATTATCTAAAATTAGAAGTTAATCAGATTATTCATGTAATAAAACTTGATGTATATCTGTCTTTGATAATATATGTTTGATACAGCTGTCAGAGAGTTTACCAATAACAAATTTATTCAACTCTACAATATACTATAAATAAGACAATCTATATACATTACCTAAAGTTGATTTGCTTCCTTCGCATTTATTTATTTTAAAATTCTCAAGAAAATCATTACTACAACCAATATGTTCGGCAAAAAAGTCAAATCTTTAAATTAAATAGTTAAATTCCTTTGAAATTATTTTAATATTACCCAAAATCATTATCTTTTTGCAAGAATTTGAGATATTTGCAATTTGAAGTATTTGTAGGAATATCTAATCCAACTAATAATGAAGACATTTTTTGAATTTAAATATTGGAAAACCGTACTATTATGGGTCAAAATAAAAATGAAGAATAAATAAATATGTATATAAGTAATAGAGTTAGCTATTTTTAAAAAGCAGCTCAAAACAAGCCGTTTAACAAAACAAATAATATGGCCTGACAAGAGTAAAATGGAAGCACTTAAACCTTCCTAAAAAATAAGTATTGTTTAGATAAGTTAATGAATTTTTACAAACATTAATTTTACTGCATACTTTAACTTCTACTTATTTATGCACACCGTATTTTTTTAAATCAATAATCGTTAAAATAATAAAAACAGGGAATAAATAATTTTGGGTGAATATTTTTTTTTAGCAAACAGTTTCCCAAAGTGGAGTTTAGCATTAGCAAATATAAAATAAGCACATATTCGTTAAATGGACCACATGGAAGTTTCAAAATTAGATGTCGATATAATAAAGTTTTCTAACGAGGCAGATAAATCTAAATTTATCTCATTACGTGAAACTTTAAAAGAACAAATTAGTAAATGTCAAAAGAAGAAAATTCTAAAACAGCTATCTTGGTTAATGAACAAAAAAGAAAGAAGGTATATTTTTATTTTATGATAATTTTATAAAACTTTTCTTTTATAGAGCTAAAGAAAAAAACAAAAAAAAATATAGGACTGCTATCCCTAAAGAAATGGGATATACATTAAATCGTAAAAAATTAAAATTGAATAAACCTGAATCAAATGCCTTAAACATTGTGATAGATTTTTCATATTATGATTTGATGACAGAACAAGTAAATATAAGTATATTTTCTTTGGTGAATTTTTCAGGAGCTTTCAAAGGGATTAAAACAATTGCAGAGATGTTATGCCATAAATAGGAGAAGTGTTAACCCTGTGAATTTACATGCAACAAGCTTTAATGATTATTTATCACAAAAACTAGTACAATCTGCTAATCATTTGAAATGGGATGTTGGTATTTATTTAATTTAAATAATAGTTAACAATTAATTCAAGGTGAAATTTAGCGAAAATCACTTTAAAGACATATTTCCTGTTTCTGATGTTATATATTTGACTAGCGATTCAGAAAATGAAATACATGATGTGGTTTCTTCTAATATATATATTATTGGGGGCTTAGTTGATCACAATAGAAATAAAAAACATTGCTATGAGTAATTATTATACCTATTTTGAAAAAAAAAATTTAATTTAAAGGCAATGTAAAATTATGAACATAAACCATGGCAAACTTCCGATTGACAAATATCTTTCCATCAAAAAAACAAAAGTTTTAACTATTGACCATGTGTTCAATATACTCCTCACATATCATAATTGTTCTAATTGGTTAGAAACATTTCAAAAGATTATTCCTAAAGTATAATCACTTTTTTGTTTACAATTTTTTCAAATTATTTTAGAGAAAAGAAGCTATTCCCATAATCGGAGATGTAAAAAATGAAAATAAATTTAATGATGAAAATGAATAATATGTATTGCATTTAATTAAAATAATATAAATAGAGTTTTCTTTGTATTTAATCATTTATATTTATTATAAAGAATTTTAATTGTATCACCCATTCATTGATTTTTTTAAAGATTATTGGGTGTCATTGGGAATGACTAAAATACACACCCCCAAAAACTACACGCCCCTTATCAAAGAAGCTTAATTTATAAAAAATAAAAGCATAATCATATTAAGCTCAAAAATGTTAATATTTGGTTTACAAATTATTTATAACTTATTGGTATTTTGAAAAAACACTTAATATATACATTATTTTTAAAAAATGAATACAGAATAATGTTTAGCTTTTCAGGGAGATTCAGAAAATGATATTATTCATATTTTATATTTTTTTAAATTTTAATTATCAGAAAAAAAATTCTTAACTAAACTATTGTGCCCCTTATCAAATCTTAATTCATAAAAAATTAAAGCATAATCATATTAGGCTCATTAAAAGAAATCAAAAAATGTTAATATTAAGTTTATAAATTATTTATTGGTATTTTGAAAAAACACTTAATTTCTTCTTTTTTTGACTAAACTATGTGCCCCAGGTAAATATACATTATTTTTTAAAAAAAATTAATACAGAATCATGTTTAGCTTTTCAATGAGATTCAGAAAATGGTATTATTCATTTTTTTTAAAGATTCTTTTTAATGATTCTAATATGATTACACTATAATTTTTTATGAATTACGCTTCTTTGATAAGGGGTGCATAGTTTAGTTAAAAAAAAATTTTTTTTGATAATAATTGAGCGCAAGGCAGTATTTAATTTTATATACATATTTTTAATATAAGAAAAATTATCAAAAATTCACATTTGAGTATTTTTAGGTTTAAAAAACGCGTCTATAGGATTTTCTATTAATATTAGTATCCTTTATTTCAAAAAATTATCAATGGAAGTCGTTTTTATGGTTCTAACTATGGCATATTTGTTTGCTATCTCCATCATTGGTGTCTGATGACAAAAAATTGTACCAGGTGATAAAGTTTTAATCATCATGGTGAAGGATGGATTATCAATCAATGACATGGCTGAACTGTATAAATTATAAAATTGACAATAACTTTATCAGCCAGTTTCTGGAAATATTGGCATGTGCACTATTATTAATCAATTTAGCTTGAATGCTATTAAATTTATTTGAGGATATATATTTTTATAGTTTAAACAAATAAATTTTTAGCCACCTTTTGTTTTTACATAAATTTATATTATTGTTATCAAGAACATTTTCTTTCAGGGTACCTTGTCTGACTCACTTACATCGATTTAGATATTCATTTGCGATGACATTTTATATAATTTACACCAGATGATCTAGGTTTATATTATAAATTACAAATTGAAAATATAAATTTCAAAATTTAATAATAAATTATAAAAATTATAATTAATCACTATATTATATTTAAATTTTCATGTTTATAGTTACATTGATTATATTTTTAAAAAGTAAAAAGGAGCCCGCTAATAGGATAAATAATTGGAAAAAAAGTAGCGCGATATTATCTATAGCTACCAAAAAGATAGCGCGCAACTTTTAACGATCTACTTACAACTCTACAACATCCTCACACCTAGCAAGATATAAATTTTATCTTATCTGCAAAGATAATTTTTTTAGAGGTTTTATGAAATCGATATCTTAAAAATAATTTTGATTACAACTATGTTCAGAATAATTTGAGCATAATTGAGTACTAAATATCTATTTCACACCAACATTGATCAAACTGTACTGATTTCTCATTAGATTAAGAGAAAATTTCTAATTCATCCGTCATTCAATTTCACTAAGAAAATAATAGTGACTAAAAATAAAAGCATAATAGATAAAATAAACAATATGTAGTTAAAAATTTTCGAATAATGACGATCACCTAATTATATATTCAAAATAATTTTGTAAAACGCAAGAATAAAATTTATATTTAATAAATATGATATGCGCAAAAAAAATTTTTAATGGTAAATTTTATACTCTTTTGTGGTTAACGTTGCATATATGCTACATTTATCTCTATTTGATCCCCTCTTTAAATAGGTTGTACTATATATATCATTTTTACGAAAAGAATTTTTAGAATGAAAAGATTAATTTTTTAAGACGGAAATCATACATGAAAACATCTTAATTTAAGTACATACTATCAATTAGTAAATTGTTGATTATTTTTTAACTCTATAAATTTAATAAGCTCTATGAATAGAACAATTTTATATTGTTTATAATAATATTCCCACTAGATGGGGTATTATTAAAAATGTTAAAAATTCTCTATTTTAATAATATATAATAAAAACAATTACCTGACTATAATAATAAGTTTATTAATGCAATTTTTAACAGATTTTTTCTACAAAGGTTCTTGGTTTACATTTTTTTAAATATTTTATTTTTTCAGATTCCAAAAGAAATTAATAATATAATATCGCTAAAATTACAATAATTATTCCATTTTTTCCTAATATTATTTTTTATATAAAAAAACTACCTAAATAAACATAATATAACAATGATATTTTATAAGTTTTATAGCAAAATTTTTAAAAATATGATCAATGGCTACTGTACCACCAAGCCATATATGCCCCCTTCTCAATAAAATTAGTTAATAATTTATTTTAATTCCCTCATAGCATCCTTCCTGATCCTCCTCTCTCTAATATGGGCAAATTATCATTAGAAATAAAGATATGATAATATTAACTAATTTTATAAAATTTATATTTTGTTGGATTTATATCAAAATAAAATAATAGTGCTGTAAACATTTTTAAAAAAATCGATCGCGCTCAACGTTCATTGACAAAAATTGAACGCGTTTTCACTTTCAAAAATAAAGAACGCGTTCACTCGTTCAAAATTTTATGATTAATTTTTTTTTAATTTACTATAAATAAATGTCTTTTTTAACACGATATATTAACCATGTTAAAAATTAATATAGTTTTATTTTAATATTATTAATAAGTTATAAAACGTTTTTCGCCCTCTAGTTGTGGATACAACAGAGCTACGCTATTTTTCTCAAAATCCATCAAACTGGATATTTAATTTAGGTGGAGAAATATGAGGAGCCCTTCACGCGTTTGTGGGCAAGCCGCACGTACTTGTACACACAACAGCCTGAGAACTGTTGTTTAAATGTCTATAAGCTCATAACAGAAGAGTTGGGCAACAAAAGTCTCTACCCAAGAACTACAATATAATTTAATTACTTTAAGGGTCGGGTGGCGGATTTTAAATATGTGTAAGCCTTAATTATACAAATAAATATATAAGATAGAGAGATTAAAAATTAGAATAAATAAAAAGTGGTTTACAAGAGAAAATATATTAAAGTGTTGTAAAAACCAATAAACAAAAAGGATTTAACGATGAAAAGCTTTTTGAGAAAAGTAAATTTATGTAAAAAGTAAGTAGAAAGGGTAAAAGTAAATAAAGTAGTGTTCTAAAATAGAAATTTTTTAGAAATTGGAATAAATTGTAAAAGAAAAGTATGGTGGTAAAGATAAATGTGGAGTTTAAATAAAAAATAAAATAATAAAGCATTATTAGGAATAAGCAAGGTTGAATAAAATATAATATAAGAAACGGTGCTGATTAAATTTAAGAATTAATAAAAGCAAGTGATTATAAGTATTAATTTTAAAAAACAAAAATTGATGCATTAAAAGATTAATATGTAGTTAGTTTAATATAAGGAAAATTTAAGACTATTTATTAAAAGAAATAAAATAATATTTTCAATTGAAGGATGAATAAAAATAATATGTAATTTATAATAGTTCATAAGAAATTTAAAAGAAGGTAGTAAAGTATATTAGAAAATTGGTTGTATTCCATAAAGTATTTTAGAATATTGGTTTATATAGAAATCGTTTATTTAAATAAATTATTAAATTTTATACAATATATTTTTTTACCTTTATTAATTTTACCATATAAAAAAATTTATTATTTGCTATAAACTTTTGATAACATATTATATTATATAAAATAAAAATATTAGTATTTCGTAAATATCATTCACTGATTTTTTTTTTGGTTAGTTATAATTATCATATATATTTTAAAATTTTACATTCTCTTTTGAACTAAAAAAAATCTACTTTATATAACAAAATATATCAAAATTTATATAAAAAAAATCAATCTATCAATTTATAAAAAAAAATCAATTTATATCAACATAAAAAAAACAATTTAAAGGTTAGTATTAATCGGTCATATTAACATTCCACCCTTTAAAAAAATGATCTCCACTCAGGTTTTTCTTACATGTGAATCTTATCGTCACTTCAGTCATTTGTTTCTCAATTGCTCCATAAGTCATTTGTTCGTATATCTTTAGATTGTTTGTTTGACCATCTGATTATCGTTTGTTGAATCGATTATCGAACATCATGAAACATCGTTGGTTGAACATCATTGTTGAAACGTCGTTAGTTGAACATTGCTTGTTGATTAGCTGTTTGTATTGATCATCCCATTTCTCTTTCAAAATTTTATATATATATTTTTTTTTACAAAATTTTATTTATTCATAACAATCATTTTCTATGTCGTAGGTCATATTCTCGCTTTTGAACTTGACTTTGAATTTTGAACTTAACTTCGAATTTTCGAATCTTGAACTTGTTCACTTCTTCCACCTCTAAAATTTTTTTTTCCTTTGTAGAATTTTATTTGATATTTTATTGTTGTTTAGCCTCAGTCATATCTTTTCATTAATTTTAGCTTGTTATTCTTATCATCTAATCATTCGCTTGAACATCATCTTCACACTAGCTTGTTCATCTCGTTATTTATTATCATTTTTATCAATGTTTGTAAATATATATTATGATCAATATATCTCAAATAAAATAATGATAATGGAATAATAATTTATCAGAATCATTCATAAGGATAAGAATCATAATTTGGAATGTAGAATAATAGAATATTTGGAATTGTTTCATTTTATATAATAATTTTTTTTTATATTTATTTAATTATTTTTATTTTTTAAATTTTACTCCTTTATTTTTCAATTTAAACACTTTTTTATATCATAATTTCTCTTTAACTTGTTCTTTATAACAAAATTTCTCTTTCTCCTTACATTTTCAACATACGATCTCCATATCGTACTCCTAATCTCTCTTTCAA